AGGTCACATTGAGAACAATCAGTACACGAGGGAGTTTGTAAGTGGTAATAGAGGAAAAGGATGGTTGAAAGTCGGTAACACAATTTTCAAACTCTCTAGGGCCATCTTCGTCTGGTGAAGGCTCTAGCCCGTCTCTACAATGACATCACGCCGCTCAACCTCGACCCGGAAAAGCAGATCCTAATTGCAAACGGCGCCTCGCAGGTCCTCTTCGAGGCCTTCATGGCACTGGTCACCGACGGCGACGAGGTGATCATCATTGAGCCTTTCTTCGACTGCTACCAGCCTATGGTGAGGATGGCCGGCGGGCAGCCGGTCTACGTGCCGCTCGTGCCACGGCCAAGCCAAGATTCCTCTTTAGGCGTGATCACCTCTCAGGACTGGGTCCTCGACATGGCGCAGCTGGAGGCGGCCTTCAATCCGAAGACCAAGATGATCGTCCTCAATACGCCCCACAATCCAGTGGGAAAGGTAGTGGGTTGAGTGGAAATAGACCTGAACTCATCTGTTCCTTTCAGATCTTCTCCAAGGCCGAACTGGAAGCGATCGCCGCCCTGTGCATCCGCCATGACGTCATCGTCCTCTCCGACGAGGTCTACGAGTGGCTCGCCTACTCGGGCGCGACCCACACCCGCATCGCCACGCTGCCCGGAATGTTCGAGCGAACGGTGACGGTAGGATCAGCGGGCAAGACCTTCTCCATCACCGGCTGGAAGATCGGCTGGGGCTACGGGCCGGTGCAGCTGATGGAGCAGCTCTTCAAGTTCCACCAGACGGCCATCTACAGCGTCAATGCGCCCTGCCAGGAGGCGATTGCCGTGGGCTTCGAGGCGGAGTACCAGCGTCTGGGCACCAAGGCCAGCTACTGGCGCCAGATGGTGGAAAGTCTGGAGCCGAAGCGGGACCGGGTGGCCCAAATGCTCACCGAGATTGACCTGCGGCCGACCCTTCCCGAAGGGGGCTACTTTATGGTGGCTGACTTTTCGAAGATGGCCGAGCGGGTGGACCTGA